ATTTATAAGAAATGCAAATACATAAATCTTAAATGTAGGCCTTTTTTGAGTGTGGGTGGATCAAAGCCCACAACAAAACATCTTTAAAGAACATCTGAGCTTTATCTCTTGTTGATTTTCTGCTTTGGGCTTTTTTAAGGACACATTGTTAGATGTAGGTGAGTGGGGGACTAAAGATATGAGTAAAAAAAAAATCAATGTCACTATTAGAGTGAGACAACAACTGTGACTAGTAGAGATAAAGCGGGACGCTAAGCTAACTTGCGAGCGTTAATGAGAGCGTGTGCGACAGGATGGTAAAGTAGCAGCTTTCCCCCGTTCCCTCGGCTCAGGGCCTTTGCTAGTATAATTGCATGCTGACTTCAGCACACTGTAGAGCCTCTGAGAAGTCCAGATTAAGAGTAAAACACTGTTTCATGTCACACAGCTTTAGACTGTGCAGACGTCATGCATTAAACCAGTCTCTGTAGCCCATTTTCAGTTCCTTTATGGAGGATAAGCGTATGTGTAAAGCATCTGGAGAGACTATCCTCACGTTTACAAATGCAAAGCTGTTTTCAGCAGCTCTATAGTCGATAAAAAGGGGGGGAAATGGCAAGTTAACTACCCTAAAATGTATGCAAATTTGGCTTAGATCTGTAGACTTGAATATGCACTTACTCTACAGTTTGAAAGGTTGGAGTCAGGAGGATTTTTGTATTGTTTTGTTTTTTGAAAGAAGTCTCTGATGCTCCCCAAATATTATTATATTTTAAAATAAGTTTTATTTTATTTGAAAATATTTAAAAATGTCATTTATTCCTTTGATATGAAAGCTGATTTTTCAGCATCATTACTTCAGTCTTGAGCGTCATATGGCTCTTCAAAAATGATGCTTACTTAACATTTCTTATTATGATAAATGTTAAAAAGAATTGTGCTGCTTAAAATTTTTCTGTGGAAACAGTGATACATTTTCTTTATATATATATATATATATATATATATATATTTATTTATTTTTTGGAACAATGTAAGTCTTTACTGTTACTTTCGATCATAATTTAATGCATGCTTGCTCAATAAAATTGTTAATTTCTTAAAAAAAAAAGAAAATAAATTAAATCGTACTGACCCCAAATATTTGAATAATAGCCCAGTGCACATGGCTTAAACTCTCCTGTGAAATACCTCAAATATTGTGGTGAAACAGAAGTCGGTGTGTCAGATTCTTCTAGAAGATCTAAATTTGAAAGATGAGGTCATATTGGATAGAAATCAGAACATACAATAGTACATGTTAAGTTGTGGTTAGTCTGGCTGGAATATCAGTAAACATTTGTGACTGAGATGATCAAAATAAACAGAATAATATGCGATATCTGTTCCAAAACCTAGTTAGCTGCCTAGGTAGGCAGCATTTTAAGGCATCATAGTGCTCCCAACGCAAAGACTGTCACTTGCTTTGTTTCTAAATGTAACGACTCCCTTATTCCTGGCAGTCACAGTTTCATTATTTACAGTATAATTACATTTAAAATAATAATAATTTCATATTTCTATATTTTAAACCCATTAATGCCCATTTAAAAATCAATCTCATAGCATTATTCATGCAATTCCAATAGCAGTGTAAATGCGTTCATGGAACCTATGAATGGTAAATATACCTATATGCTACAGCTTCTGAAAACAATGTTATGCCACATTGTAGCCTTAAAAATTCAAGTATAATAAATTATATGTTGCATCAAAATATTTCTTTCTAAAGCTGCATTTTTATAATGTCTATTCAACGCTTTTCTCATTTAACACAATAGTGACTTTAAGGCCCGGTTTCACAGACAGGGCTTAGACTAAGCCAGGATTTAGGCCATTGTTCACTTAGGAAATTTAAGTAATTTTTATTAACATGCCTTAGAAAAAACATTACTGGTGTGCGTCTTGAGACAAAACAAAGGCACTGATATATTTTAAAATCAGTCAGTGCAAGTTTCTTTCAGTTAAAACAGCTCAGACTTATACTTTAGTCTGGGACTAGGCTTAAGCCTGGTCTGTGGAACCGGGGGTAAATTATTTTTGGGGAATAAATTCTCAGCCCACATTGATGTTATTATGAATATAAGCGATTCAATTCTTATTTCAATCTAATAATAATAATAATAATTGTGTGCGCTATGCTTTAAAAAAAAAAAACTTATTAGAGTATCACTGTTCACATGAGGAGCACTATTTTATAACACACACAGATGCTGCCTAAGTAGACAGTTTCAAAGCAAAGGTCCTGTTTAAGACAGCTCACTAAGCTTCAAAACAGAGAATTAATGTATGGTGCATGCGTTATTTAAAATGATAGAAATAAAAATACAATGATTTCAACACTTGTTAATACTAGTTTAATACCAGTTAAAAAGAAATACTGAGGTACCTACCCATTTAGATTTTTAGTTTCATAATTTACTTGTTTTAATAATATAACATCTCATTGTTTTGTTTCACACAGCAAAGAAAATATCTTTGAATAGAGCTCTGTGTTCATAAAAACATATATTTTACATGGAAATGATGAAGCACAATGTTTTGGTTTGTAATATGTCACTAATTGAGTAGAACAGGAATTAATTGCTTGTGGAGTTATTTTGGCCAAAGTCACTAATATTCTGATATATTGCTATACATTGACATTCACAATGGAATCTAAGAAACCATCTGCTTAGTATTCATGAATTATATTCATTTTGTGTGACACAGGCAATCAACTCCAATACAAAATGTCTAACCATATACTGAAACACTGCTCTCTATAGGTTCAACTTTAAATCTGAGGTCAAAATCCAAAATGGCAACATTGAAGCATATGCAATACGTCTTAACTCTTTTTTTGTGTGGGTACAATGGATGAATAAAAAAAACTATTTGCAGCACTGGCTTATCTACAGCACATCAATGAATCACTGTTTGGATTCGTAACACCCTCTTTCTGAAATGTATAGCAGACTGTGTCCAGTGAACTTCAGTCTTCACTATTATATTTACAGTATAAATGAAATACACTCACTGTATATACAAAGAAATTAAAACTTATATATTGTACAGTTCAATGGTTTTTTTCAATCCCTGGGAGATGAGAAAAATGTATGCAAAAACTAAAATAAATAAATAAATAAATGGCTGTGTTAACTTTGTGAAACTGTTATAAATTAATTTTCAATTCTAAATGATGAATACACATTATTCAAAAGGCATTCTTATTTGTAAGGCATTCACTTATGAAGCAAAATTATTCTGTAAGCCATTTATCTACAAAAAAAAGTCAAAAGAACAAGCTGAATGTAAAAAAAAACTCATGGAATGCACGCGGACGGTATATATTTGAGGAGCTTACAACAAATTACATTTAGCTGAAGGCATGTTAGAATTAACATTACATTTTATAACATTTTCCAGAAAGATATCAAGCTCTATTGTGTTCGTATATCAAGATATGTATTCCACAAAACATTCTCAGTGTTTGATATTTCATGGATTTTACCTAAGTTCGAGCTCCAAAAAAAAGCTTTACTATAGAGACGTGATTCTTAATAGATACTGTATATTCCCGCTTTATAGAAGTACAAAAAGCTTGCCTTCAAATGGACATTTTATCACAGTGCTTTTGGAAAGGTATCACACTTCATGACTGAAAAATTCACATATTAGGGGCCGTTTACACGACAACGTTTTCAGCCAAAAACGGGAAACTTTTTCTGCGTTGTGCCTGTTCGTTTACACGACAACGGCGTTTTGGGGACTGTAAACGCATATTTTTGAAAACGGGTTTCAAAGTGTTTTTGAAAACGCTGCCGTTATTGTTTCCATGTAAACACCCAAAACGGGAATCTTTGAAAACGGTGACGTCATGCGCATGTGTTAGGTATGTAGACATGCGCAGTACGTGTCGATTTTAAAGGCAAGCGCGAACAAACATACACAACAATGCCGAATATATGGTACTGTTGTTGCTGCTCAAGAGTTAGCTAACGCTACTTCAGCAAAGTGTGGATTTACTTCACCAATATTACAACCAACAGCGGGGACGCATCATATACATCATATAATCGTCACTTCCCTACAGGTACTGTTTACTAACAAGGTGACAGCGCCAACTACTGGCCTGGCATACGTAATACAGTGTTTTTGGCCATTTTCGCGGATATATTTAAATGTGAATCGTTTTGAAAACGTTGTCGTGTATACGTGAAACTTTTTAAAAACGCAAGGGAAAAACGTTTCTGTTTTTGACTACATCGTTGTCGTGTAAACGTAGCCTTAGTCCATATCTCTTTGCCTTTAGACGAAGGCTTGATAAGTGCGATAAATGTGTAATTAAATGTTTTCAACAACCACCAATTTAGAAGATTCCAGAGCAGGACTGCTTACATGAAGAAGGCAAAGCTGTAATATAGAGAGGGATATAAACACTGTTGGCTTTTTTTGCATGCTTCAGCTGCAATTTTGTTCCCTCAGTTTAAGTTATGACAAATATAAAAATGGGATGACCTACTGAAGAGATTAAAAACCTAAAAATGAAGTTAATATAGTCACTAAATGCACTCTTCACAATGTGTGAAAAATCAGTTTGAATAGTTAAACGAACTTGGCATAAATAAGTTCTGACCCAACAAAAATCAGAAGTTTTTTATACTAAAAGACCCCCCCCACACACACAATGTCAAACTGATAAACTGACAAATATAATTAAAAAATGCACCGGGAAAGTGGCTTTCCCCCCAACTTTCCTTTACGCTTACTGTTCTGTAACATTCAGAACAAAATTTTGGAAATTTCAAATGTTGGTAAATAATCCTAATTTCTCAACCGAGCATGTTTTCAGTGACTTGTACAGTAGTTAAATCTATTCTTATTTTCCACACAGATCGTAACAAACAAGACACCCATGCAAATCTGAGCTCCTTAGAAAACTATTAACAATGACAGTGTTTTGAAATTACAAAAAAAGCATAAAGGAAAACTGTCAACCTTTAAAATTGTGATACCTCTGTACACATTATTACAATACGCCTCCGCCTTCTTTCTTGACGTTTTCAGACACTCGTGCAGTTCGGGATCTCCCTTGTGCTTTCACAGGTGTTGATCACACCGCCTACTCGCCGAAAACACAGAAATGACACATTAGCCTTCAAAATAGATTCTGCTTCAACAAACAAAATTGTCTGTATTCATTTTCTTAACACATGTCCCAGGATGATTACTCAGAAGAAAACTTATTTAATAATCTTGCTTTTAATTTAAATAATTTCCTGAAATTACTTTTCTTCAACCCAGACCTACTTTTCAAAATCTCAATGGATAAAATCAAGTCTCAACATGACTTCAAGTTGGATAAATGGTTTGCTTTGAAATGCATAACATTACAGAAGTTAAATGCATAGCGAATGCCATTTTATGTTATCTTAAAATGCTTGATTATACGCTCAACTATATATTACTCAAGTATAAATGAACAAACTAGATGTTTTCAGCATTAGAGTCATTAAATATTTATCCTCATGAATGCAAGCGAAATGAATGTAAAGCAGGCTAGAAACTGAACCATTTCATCCTCCTATTAAACACCCGCAGAAAGAGTGGTGGGATTTATTTTCTGCGTGGCACCGATGTTGCATGTTTATTCATCATAGTTGTTGTTATCACACTGACCCCAATTTGACCCCTTTTATAGTTTAATCAGTGCCCTTTTATAATCACTGTTTAACAGCACCAATTAAATATTAATTTGCAGTTATTAAGCAATTACATGATCACAGACGCATCCACTTGGGAAATAAGGAGACTTGGGCCCACTGTAGATAGTTCTCATTAGCATGCATTATGTGTTCGATTATAAACTTGATTTCAAAGGCTGTTTTTTGGTCTGATGGTTTTCACTGTGTAATTCTAAAAGCTGAATGATTCATATTTTAGTGTAAAACACAAAGCTTGCCACCGCAAGAATAGTTTTATGATAGCACGCAGGTTCGTGACTCAAACAGTCTTGAGGCTGAAAAAGACCAAGGCTGGAAAAAAATAACTTTTCCTATCATGTCATTTCTACTTGAGAACTACTCAGACTTAGAATACTAAAAAAAGACAATTATTCAGAGCTGTATCTGGGAAAAGTTGGTATTATGTTCACTAAGCTCCACCTTCAGCATCTTTTGTCATGTGCAATATCAGACAAGCTTTTGCTCTTTTCTACAGAAACCTTTTTTTTTTTTTTTTTACAGAAATGATAGATTGCATTCTGCGGATAACATATATATTGAAATTAAATCTTAATTTAATTTAATTTAATATCTTAATAAATCTTAATTTAATTATATATATATATATATATATATATATAGTGGTATAAGCATAAAAAATAGCAAATGGGCTTTTCTCTGAAGTTTTATGTTATAAATATTAATTTTTAATTTTCTAAAAATGTCACTCACGTTTGGCACAGGCCTCCAGCTCTTTCTCCATCAGTTCTTTCTGGGTGGAGAACTCATTCAGGGTGATTTTTGGTGTGGCGTCATTCTGGCCCACCGTACTGATCATCTCCTGCTCTTTCTCATGGTTCACCTCTGCGTAGATGTTAATCCAAGGGATTTTTCTGCAGAACAAGTTTTTGTTGGGGGAAGAAAAATAAAAGCATTAAGCATTAACAAATCAATTTTTATTTATTTATATTTTTTAAAAAGGTGTAAATTCTGAGCCACTAGAGACACAAAACGGAATTGCAACGTGTTTGTTTGAATTCAGAAATCTCAAATCAAATTACCAAAGAATGAAATGAAAAAATATGTTTGTTTTGGTGCCTACTTCAGTGGCAAACATGCATGACAACACAAAATGAGGACTGTGCGCATGCAAACTAAAACTGCAATACAACAAGTTGTTAAATACGGTGCGACTGTAATCACAATCCTTTATTGTATTCCTGAAATAATGACAGTGATGATTGCTGAGTATATTTAATAACTTCTGGAGAAGAAGTTGCCCAGGCAATCAGAGGTACTGAGAAGCCGCTTGTCTTGATAACACTGCGGGACAACCTGGAACGAATTATAGAGATGTTTTTGTAATTCCCCCGAAATTTCATGCCATGCTTTTCCAGCACACTAACCACACTGTAATGTGTTTGCTATATTCCAAGCTCACTTTATATTTTTATGAATTAGAATAAGAGTCTTCGCTTTTTTTCTTTCTTTTTCAAATTACTATTAATTTTGTGAGCTAATTGCTTTGTTTTTCCAAGTGTAACATTTCCATAAATACGCTTCCTTTTTAAATTACATGGGGGGGGGGGGGTGGGGGTAATTTTTTC